GGTCGGCCACCCTCAGGTAGATGAAGGAGTCATACTGGCTGCTGATGGTGTCCAGCATCTTCGGGCTGTGAAGGCGAAGGGGGCGAGGGGGGAGAAGAGGAGGAGAAAAGCTCTACCAAAGGCGCATGACTTGCCCCAAAATGGCCAAAACTCTCAGGCGTTGCCATATTGACCAAATCCCACAGGATAACCCCCTGGTAGAAATCGATGGGGCAGGAGAGCGTGGTGTCGTGGAGGTTTGACCCTAGGCTGGGTCTGAGCACAGAGATGAGCCCCACCACAGATCTTATCCGTGGCCTCGGTCACGGCCCTTCTCTGAGCTGCGATTTGGAGGGGCGTGCAATGGGAGTTGTCCTCCAGTGCCTCAGTTTCCCCATCCGCAGAAGGGGGAGCGTGGGAAGGAAGGCCAGGGTGGGGGCTAGCCCCTTCCCACCCCCATCTCCTGGCACCTGTCCTGGGCACCTCGATGCCTGTGGGGTGGCATCAGTGGGGAGCGAAGACGGGCTGTGCCCCCCATCCTGCTTTACTGGGAGGGACAGAAACCAGCATCCAAACGAACCCTTTTTCCACCAAACCTGGCAAAAGGGTCTGGCCCTTTCCCCCTGCCTAGTCCCCCGTGGAGTGGGCAGCGAGGGGGTGGTCCCTGCGTATCCGCCCCGCTGCCCACGGAGCCCCCGCCATCCGCTCCCCCCCCGCCATCGGCATCCCATCGCCCCAGGGGACCGTGACGGAACCCTCTAGAAGGGGCTGGAACAAGCATTGCTCAGCGCTGCCATCGCACCCCACCCACCCTGCCAGCGCTGGTGCCATGCCATCCCGCTGTGCTGTGCTATCCTGCCATGCCATCCCAGCACACCATGCCATGCTGCCATGCCATCCCAGCCCGCCGTGCTGTACCATCCCAGCACACCGTGCCGTGCTGCAGAGCCCCTCCCGTAACCCCACCCGGATCCACAGAGAATTGGGAAAGAGCGGGAGGGGACGTGGTTCAGCTTTTTCTCCAGCACAGCACGGCCTGAGCTGAGTCACTGCCACGCTGACTTGCTTTTCCCTGGCAGAATTATGTCATTCACCTCCACGCATTTGGCAACGGAGGTGAAAGGAAAAAAAAAAAACCAACTGGCTGACCCAAAATATCCTCCTTTTCCCACTGATTCTGCTGGTTTAAGCCCTGGGAATCGGAATCCTGAAGGATGATTCAGACATACCTTGAATCACGCCCTCCCTCGCTCCCTGTCTGTGCGATGAGGGGTGACCAGCTGCTAAATTTAAGATTCCCGATGTAACTCAGAGGCTATGAAAGGCTCCTGTGTCACCCCCGCCCCGGGGAAACTGAGCCACGGTGCTCTGAAACAGCCTCGTCCCCAGGGAGGTATCCCTGGGTATCTTTCTGCAGAACAGCAGTGAATTATTTAACGGTGATGGATGTTGCAGACAATGGATTTTTCAGCTTCAAAGGGGGGAAAAAGGAGTTTAACAACAAGAAATAAAAAATTGAAATATCCAGACAAGACAGTTGATGCCGGGGAAAAAACCCGTCCTGCGTTGTGTGTTACCCCCAAGAAGAGCATCTCCCCTGGGATCAGTGTGGTGCGCTCATCCCGTGCAGGCAAAACCACCTTTATCCGCTTAATCCCTGCTGGTTGTTGCTCATGTCCCCCCCCAAAAAAATCTCGGGATGCCAAAGCCCCCCTCCACCCAAAGCCCTTCAAGAAAAAGGCATCCTCTTGCTTTTCATCCCTCCATCCCTTACCTGTCGAGGATGGATGGATGGACGGGCTCGATGCCGGACGGGCTCTTTGTGCTGGGAAGCCGCGGGGGTCGCAGCGTCGCTTTTGTCTGCTGG